ACATCGAATTTTGCGATACGTGTATGGAGCATTAAATATAGACGAAAAAAAATTAATTGCACAGTTTAGTTGGAAATTACGAGACGGACGTTTTGAGCCTAATTAGTCCATGATTAAACACTAATTACCAAATAAAAACGAAAGTGCTACAGTAACCCAAATTTCAACTTTCACCCAGCTAAATACACCCTCACATGCACGCCATCTCCACTGTCTCGCAGCATGTAAATGCCCGACCAGGGTCTTATTTAGGTAAGGGTTAGGAATCAGTATTTGGCACTGTAGCACTTTCGTTTATATTTGATAATTATTGTCCAATCATAGTTTAACTAGACTCAAAAGATTTGTCTCGTAATTTACAATTAAACTGTGTAATTAGTTATTTTTTTATCTATATTAAATACTCTATGCATGTGTTAAAGATTTGATGTGAGAAAGAGACAGTAAAAAAACTTGCAATTTAAACAAAGCCCCAGTCACGTCCTTTCTTTCTTTCTTTCCCAACGCAAAGTGCGCAGTCGAGCAGCACCCAGCAGGGGCAGGGCTCGACCTCGGCTTATCCCCGGTTTCGAGTCTTGTTTAGATTGAGAGTTAGAAATTAGTATTTGGTACTATAGTACTTTCGTTTGTATTTGATAATTATTATTCAATTATGGTCTAACTAGACTCAAAAGATTCGTCTCATAATTTACAATCAAACTGTGTAATTAGTTATTTTTTTATCTATATTTAATACTTTATGCATGTGTTCAAAGATTTAATGTGACAAAGAAAGAGTGAAAAAATTTGCAATCTAAACATGGCGTCGATCTGACCATGCATCGGTCGCTGTACATCCAATGCCCACTGACGCTGCTCCGGCGCTGCGTTGTTTGCTTGCGCCTTGACGCGTCCCATCGCTGCCCACTCCGTCGCCCACGCCTCTGTACCAGCACTGCTCGGCCAGTTAGTTTTGTGATGAGCACGGGAACCGAGGCAACATGGCCGCCGGTCTGGCGGGCATCAGCGTGTTCGAGGTCGGCGGTAAGATGTGTAGCGCCGACCTCGGCGCCATGTATTATGAGGCCGAGGTATCGGTCACGTCGGATTTTTTTTATGCACAGCCAGGACGTCAAAATCTGTGGCGTCGAAACGTGTTACCTTAGCGTCAGGACTTATGGCGCCGACCCCAGGGTCCAAAGATGAGTTTAAGTCTATTAGAGGGTCAAATATAAATTTTATTAAAAAAAGGTTAAATAGTAAAAAATTAGGGTAGCTTAGGGCGTGACACGTGGCCCAATAAAATACTAACACGTGGACGTACAGCATCAAGACACGTGGTCGAGTAAAAGAAAGACATGCGGGGTATTATGGTTATGCCATGTGGACCAATAAAAATACGACACTTGATCCAATGAAGAAGTGACACGTGACCCAATCGCAACACGACCTGTGTACCAATAAAAAACTGACATGTGGAACAAGAGGGTCCCAACATGTGGTCTAGTAAGAACCTGAAACGTGCAAGAACTAAAGATGGTCACGTTGTGCAATAAGAAGGTGACACGTACCCGAACCATCTCCAATAAAACCGACTATAGCATGTACACATGGAAAGCATCTCAAATGAAAGCACCCGCCAGCATGGCTGCCCCCTGCCATCACGTATGCCAAAGCAGTTCTATGACGATCAATTTTCGTCATAGATCATCATAGAATTGCAAGAATGACGCGACTTCTATGATGGACCGTTTTTCGTCATAAATTCATTGTAAAACTGAAATTATGACAAATTTGGCTCATTTAGTGACAAAAACTGATCGTCATAGAAGTGGATATTCCTAGCGATGAAAGTAGATCGAGGGATGTTGCATATGTTGCAAGTGTTTCAGATGCATGTTGCACGTGTTTGTTCAAAATGTTTTATCTGTTTTCATATGTATGTTGCAATCATCGTTTATCTAGATGTTGTATATGTTTCACACATATGCTACAACAGTTTAATCCGAAAATGTTTCAGCTATTTCAGTCTTCTTTGCAGCAAGTGGTTTCATGTTGCAAGTTGCAAGTGTTATTTTTTGATGTTTCAGGTGTTCCACACACATGTTGTAAGTGCATGTTCCAAGTGTTTCATCTATTTTCAGACGTATGTTCATTCAATTTTTTTCATGTTATAAGTGTTTTATGTTGTTTGGCCAGGGGAGAGTCGAGGGCAGGCGGATAGTGCTTGCGGCGCGCCCAGGGGGGGCTGCAGACGGGGGTGCTGGAGGGTGGATGGGTGCTTGATCAGAGAACACGTCGGGTCTGGCTCTCGAGTACCGCCTCTGCGAGATAGAGCAATAGGTGCAGGGAATAACCAACCGTGCAGATCATCGGCGGAATGCGCGCGCAAGGTAGGCGATGCGATGGCGGATCAAGGCGGGCGAGGCCAGGTGATGTACAACATAGATAGATTCTTTAGAACCAAAACTTTATTATGATCATGCATATATTATTGGTACCTGACGATCACCAGACCTGATCTTGCCTTCGCCATGCAGCAAGCCTGTTTCCACATGCACGATCCTCGTGCGCCGCACATGACGATGCTGAAGCGGGTACTGCGCTATGTTCGCGGAACGATGTAGCTCGGTCTGCACCTCCGTGCATCCACCGAGTTCACCGCCACGGCGTACTCCGACGCCGACAGGGCGGGCTGCCCCGACACGCGACGCTCAACATCAGGCTTCTGCGTCTTCCATGGTGATTCGCTCATCTCCTGGTCCTCCAAACGCTAGCCCACTGTGTCTCGGTCGAGCGCCGAGGCGGAGTACCGGGTGGTAGCCAATGCGGCGGCGGAGTGCATCTGGCTTCGGCAACTTCTCGGCGAGCTCCACTGCACCATCAACAAGGCCATGGTAGTCTTCTGTGACAACATCCATCTCCGCGGTGTATATGTCTTCCAACCCGATGCATCATAAGCGGACGAAGCATGTCGAGCTCGACATACACTTCGTTCGTTAACGCGTCCAAGTCTACGCGTTCTACACGTTCGGACCGGGCAGCAATACGCCGATGTGATGACAAAGGGCCTTCCCACAGCGACTTTTGAGCTCTTTCCATCCAGTCTTTGTGTAGTTCCTATCACACGTCAGACTGCGGGAGGTGTTGAGTAGAGGTGTACAGCCGCTGGGTTGACTAGCAACCGCTGAGCGCAGTCACAGCGCCCACGACGCCACGTCATGTGGCCGAGGCAGTTCTGGAGCCCTGCGTGGTAATCCAAGGTGCAACACATGTAGGCCTTGTTTAGATTATAAATTTTTACAATCTGGACACTGTAGTACGTTTTGTTTGTATTTGACAAATTTTGTTCGATCATGAACTAACTAGGCTCAAAAGATTCATCTCGTGATTTACAATCAAATTGTGTAATTAGTTATTTTTTATCTATATTTAATGCTCCATGCATACGTCAAAAAATTAATGTGATGGAAAGAGAGTGAAAAAACTTAGAATTTTAAGGCAATCTAAACAAGGCCGTAATCCTGTATATAACATTCATTGAGGGCAATACAGAAAACTGTTGGCTCCATTCTTTCAGCGACGAGACGTTACTGATATGGCGGCTCCCAACAATGCAATAGCATGGAAATGAACCTTCTATACACGGTATATGCACAATGCATGTTATTAATTTATTAATTGGTGTATAGTCCGTTGGATGAACAAACCAACGGTGGACAGATCGATCGTGGGCCATTGCAACCCAAGTGTGGTTGTTGTAAAGCTTCTTTGGAATGGAGTACAAAAAGGAGAAAAACACACTGCGCTCCCTCCCATACCATACCATACCACGCACTACTCCAATTTCGTCCACTACGAATGAAATCAGTCTCAAATTAATTAAACTAGTAAGGTTATCCGGGAAAATTGCACGGATACCTAGATTTCTCTCTTAATTTGTTTGTTTGAGAATATTTTTTTTGTAAATAGTTGTGTTTGTTTGACTTTGATTCTAATTTCCTCTCTTTCTGCTTCTGTTACATCCATCTACATGAACTCTAAACAACTATCATCAACAAATTCTTTGACTATCGTCATCTTCATCCTCTTCTTCTCCCCCTCTCTCCCCTGCTACCTTGTGGCCATGCAATTTTTTACGAAGGCGGCACAATTTTCTCCATTCGTCAATAAAACTACCATATATCCAAGTCTCATACAGATTGTTTAGTTCCTTGGCCCTCTTGTAAATTTAAAAAAAACTATTTTTTATCTTCTCTTGCAAATTCATAATTGCCTTTTTTACCCTAAACCATCGTCAGGTTATCATAATTCTGCTCATGTCAGTTGGAGCCGCTTCTACCTAAAGCAGCCACTTGTTGGCACCATCATCAAACCAACATCCATCGGTATCTCGAAGGCTCAAACATTTTCCACCGTACTATGGAATCGCCACTATAATGCCAGTAGGTTGTTGATCTTAAGCGTGCTACCCATACCACGCACTCTACCTTAATATCGGTCATGCTATGATTTTTTTTGCTTGTGGCCTGCTTCTCGAAGAAAAATGACACATACAACTTGCCAAGCTCTCACGCCAGAGTCTTTCCAAACATATTGTGTAAGCACCACTTATGCCAGTGAGTTGTTGATCTCAAACATGCTACCTATGCCATTCACGCATATCTGCCATTCTATGGAAGCACCGTTGGATGCATAATTATACTCTGAGCCTAAACATAGATTTTGAAATATCTACATGCCTGACAGGAGAAGTTTTGATTTATCCACACTAGCTACGCCATAGATATGGAGAAAAGTACCGGGCGGATGAATGAAGACGTCGTATGTGTTGACAAAGTCAAGCGAGGTGGTGTACAACGACATAGATAGATTCTTTAGAACCAAAACTTTATTATGATCATGCATATATTATTGGTCACACCACGGCACACATGATAATGTGTGACATCTTATTACTGCATTATTACAGAGAGAGAGAGAGAGAGAGAGAGAGAGAGAGAGGAGATTTCCCAAATGAATCAATAATAGTAGGGCGGAATGGCAGCGGAGGGGGCACAGGGGGTGGTGCAGTAGTTGGGCAGCTGGTAGAGTCCACACATGGCCGGCAGCGGCATGTTCTGCGCAACCTGCGCCACCACCATGGCCATGGGGGTCAGGGCCTGGGCCGCTGGCAGCAGCTGCTGCCATTGCTGCATCAGAGCCGGCTGGTACAGGCTGCTGGCGGCGGCGGTGCCCTGGAGCTGCATCATCATCTGCAGCTGCTGCACGACGGACTGCACCACGCCGCACATGGCCTGGCACCGTGACTGCATGTCCATCATCCTCAGCTGCTGGCAGCACTGCTGCCGGAGCGGCTGGCAGATGGCGCTCGGCTGCCACATCGTCTGCTCACGAAGGGCGTAGAAGGGCGCAGCCACCTGGCTGCACTGCGGCTGCCTCAGGTACTCGGCGCAGGGGTACAGCCCGCCGGCGCCCATCATCGTCATCAGGGGGCTGAAGCCCTGCAGCCCCGCTGAGGGCATCTGCAGCGCAGAGGCGCTGGCAGCTGACAGAGCCAGGCACACGGCGAGAACGATGACCATCTTCATGCTGTTCGACTTCGATCCTCTCTACTGCTTTGCTTGCTTAGTTTGGTGCAGTAGTAGTGTCTCTGATCTGGATGTGGGATCTGATGATAGAGTAGTGCATATGTGGGAGCTATTTATAGATGATCCATGGCTTGGGTTCTGCAGCATCTGCGACAGATGATTTTGGAATGTTGCATTGCATGACGTGGAAATACAAGTGCCTTTTTACATGGATTTGGATGTATAGATAGATCATCGAGCTTCCTTTCAGCACATATATATGAATCAACTTTACATGTCAAGGATTGTCACTGAATTCATACGCTTGTGAAGCTAACTTTGTAATGGCGTGTATTTTTGTTTGTTTTTTGTTGAGATAAATTGGGCTGCGCTGAGTAGTATTGCTTGACACATCAGCATGACTCATCACCATCAGTTCATGTAGGTATATACGCACACCTTGACAAATCAGCATGCATGACTCATCACCCATTCATTCTACATGTGAAGGTAGCGTCCTGTGAGTTCTGGCCTTGGTGAAACCAAGTTTGTAATGTTGTGCTGGTTGTTAGTAGGATATCTTGGAATGATAGTGCCACTCCACATGACTTAATCAGTTTGTATGTATAGCCCAAGTGAGGCCCGTTTGATTCGTGATCACAACTTGTCATGTTCTTAGGCGTTTATTTGGTTCACTGCTGTAACTATGGCACACCATATTTTCTTGGCACCATCCTACATGTCATAGACTCATTTTCTTGCCAAACTTTACCACAAGTTTGACTTCGCCACCACACTTTCTGTGGCTGCCACAGTTTGCCAGAAGTTAGGTGTGGCGAGTTTGGGTATGAACCAAACAGGCCATATACATTGCACTGGACGATCAACAGCTCTTGCATGCAATGCAACAGAATATTTTTCCTCTCATCACTGATGTCCTGAACCTTCATTTTTCTCAAGTATCAGCCGAAACATTTTTCAAGGTTACAGGGTGACTATTTTGAACAATGTCCTGAACCTTCATTCCAAGTATGAAACATACAAGGTTACAGGGTGACTTCGTGAACAAAACCCTTTCCCTAAACAGGGCAAGGGGAAATTAGCACATTTATTCCAGCCGAGCAGCAACAGTATGCCTCAGATTTGGGATCTTACTTTAATTCGAAATATCTCTATAACTAGCATAGAGATAGCACGACAACATAGCATCAGAACCAGTAAACTCAGGTGGGGGAAATATCACCATCCATCCGAGGTAAGACGGACAACAGATGAGTAACACTTAGACCACTGGAAGCTCCCCACACTCGCTGATGACTACTTTCTTCTTCGGGCGGTCACCTCTGTCAGTCTCCTGTGACTCGATCAACCTTACGATGTCCATCCCTTCCAGGACCTGGCCAAACACAACATGCCTTCCGTCCAACCAAGGTGTCTGCATCCAAGGCACCAGTCATACCAGTTCCGGGTTAGTTTTGGAGCTAGTACATGAGAGAATTTGGTTGGAACATAAATTGTCGAAGTAGCAGAGGCAGCAAAAAGTCCATTTTTCTGGTAGTTAGACAAGGTACAAGATTACCTTGACAGTGCAAATGAAAAACTGGCTGCCGTTGGTGTTCGGTCCAGCGTTAGCCATGCTGACCACTCCAGGTCCAGTGTGAACCACTAAAACACGAAAACAGCATGCCATCAGGATTAGCATGGAACTAGAAACCACACAGCACATCACTACTGTTTCAGATGTTGAGCGTACATTTAAAGTTCTCATCTTTGAAGGTGCGTCCATATATGCTTTTCCCACCGGTACCCTGCAAATGTAACTTCTAGTTAATCACATGCAAAACTTGAAAGCTGCATCTTCCAATTCAGTTTCTCTTTGTTCAACTGTTCAAGCACAAAACCAATCTTTTATGTAGTCTTTTTAAAAACCAATCTGCTAGACTGTACACAAAGAATTCAGTATCCCAACCTTATACTGCCAGTTGGGCCTCATAAAGTCACACATGGAAAAATGTGTGCATAAGTTTGTAAAACAAGACTAGATGTCAATCACTTCTAATTTCATGAATTAAGACACTAATTGCAAAATGCATGTATGTATAAAGACAAATAGATCATGGACATAATGTACTGACAAGATTTTAGCAGCATCACAAAGGTTACTGTATGACACAAAACTAGTAGACTATCAAGGAACCTATGTAGGAGTAGGACAATTCCTCTTTTGGTCCACCAATTAAATGTCTGGCATAAACCACTCTGAACTTCTGTAAATTCAGCTCACTAATCCCAAAACGAGAAAATATTTAGCGTAATAATCAACAACATAAAACAGTTACACTTGTAGAACGAAAAGTAAGCTAAAAAAAATCAGCCAGTCTTTTGATAGAACATATCCGCACATCAGCATGTAGATATTCTTTAAATCCCAAACAAGTTGGGGTAGGCTAGAGTTGAAACCCAGCAGAAGCAATCAAGGTTCAGGCACGTGAATAGCTGTCTTCCAAGCACTCCTATCTAAGGCTAAGTCTTTGGGTATATTCCATCATTTCAAGTCTCCTTTTATTGCCTCTACCCAAATCAACTTCGGTCTTCCTCTGCCTCTCTTCACGTTACTATCCTGGCTTAGGATTCCACTACACACCGGTGCCTCTGGAGGTCTCCGTTGGACATGTCCAAACCATCTCAACCGTTGTTGGACAAGCTTTTCTTCAATTGGTGCTACCCCTAATCTATCACGTATATCATCGTTCCGAACTCGATCACTTCTTATATGACCGCAAATCCAACGCAACATACGCATTTCCGCGACACTTATCTGTTGAACATGTCGTCTTTTCGTAGGCCAACATTCTGCACCATACAACGTAGCAGGTCTAATCGCCGTCCTATAAAACTTGTCTTTTAGTTTCTGTGGTACCCTTTTGTCACATAGGACACCAGATGCTTACCGCCACTTCATCCACCCTGCTTTGATTCTATGGCTAACATCTTCATCAATATCCCCGTCTCTCTGTAACATTGATCCTAAATATCGAAAGGTATCCTTCCTAGGCACTACTTGACCTTCCAAACTAATATCTTCCTCCTCCCGAGTAGTAGTGCCGAATTCACATCTCATATACTCAGTTTTAGTTCTACTGAGTCTAAAACCTTTGGACTTCAAAGTCTCCCGCCATAACTCCAGTTTCTGATTCGCTCCTGTCCGGCTTTCATCAACTAGCACTACATCGTCCGCGAAAAGCATACACCAAGGGATGTCCCCTTGTATGTCCCTTGTGACCTCATCCATCACTAAGGCAAACAAATAAGGGCAGTACAACAGAGTTTAGTGATAGCAGGTGAACACATACGTTGCCCTTGTCAAAATCTCCGCCCTGAATCATGAAATCGCTGATGACACGGTGGAAACTGGATCCCTTGTATCCAAACCCTTTCTCTCCTGCAAAAGGTGGACCTTGTTATGCTTCTCTTCTGGGCAAGGCAATACTCAAACTAATAGGATTGCACAACTAGCAAGATGGTAGTCCAGCAATCCCTCGTACCAGTGCAAAGAGCACGGAAGTTCTCTGCTGTTTGTGGAACATCATCCCCATACAGGCCGATGACAATCCTCCCAACATTCTTCCCCACAGGGTTCCCAATGCTTATGTCAAAGTACACCTTGTTTGTGATTTTAGACTGAAGGTCTGCTTCCTGCAAAAGGCACAAGAGACAAATCAACATAGGTATCCTGCCATACATTACACACTGAGGCAAATAGGTAGGAATATTTTGCATATATTAACTGAATGCAACCACAAAATTGCCTAACCCAGTAACCCACAGTTTCAGTTAAATACAGTTGAACATCTGCATCATCGCACAAGCAATGGCTAATTTGGGTATAATGCAGACAGATACTGGCCCCTGAAACATTGAGTGCCCCATGGCCTCCTATTGTCTGAAGATTCAATCGTTTTGTCATTAACAAATCATTGATGATGTGCTGCAATTAGAACTTGTGTCCCCATAAATTTTAGTGGTGACTTAAATTTAGCATGCCCATTGAACTAAAGGAGTAAGTCCAATTTAATAAAGTGGATAGCCGGAAGGTTGACATCTAAGGCAGATGGAATGTCCAAAAGCTGTCTAAGTTGCCAGGATTACAAATTAGCCTCCTTATTAAAAGGATAATAATCTCCCTCGTAGAATGGAAAAAAGATGCAAGCTTTACCGCAGGCCCGGTATCCACTTCAGCCGCTATAGATAGATGGAGTAGATTAATTAAAGAAGAGAGAGAAGGAACCCAGCAGCGTAAAGATGGTACCTTGGGCTCGGCGCTGGCGGATGTTGCGAAGCGCGCGCGGCTGTGGGAGGGCGACGCCGCGAGTCCCCCGGAGAAGGAGACGGCCTGCGAGGGGAGGCTGGCGCCGCGGAGGGAGAGGAGCGGCGATGGGGCGGCCTTGGAGGCGAGGAGGGACCGCTGCCCCGCCGAGCGCGCGACGGCCTGCAAGCAACACGAGAGAGTCGGTCAGGCGATTGGGGGGTTGGGAGATGGTGGGCAAAGAGGAGGCGGAGAGGAGGGGCCGCTCGGCTTACGAGGGTGGCGAAGGAGGTGGCAGCCGCCGCCGCCATTGCAGGGGATGGGGATGGAGAGGAGGAGGTTTTAGGAGGAGTTGCTGGAGAATGGGGTGGGGTGGGGAAGACTCTCCGCTCCACGACGGATAGATAAGAAAGGCCAAACGGAGCCAAAATTCTCTTACATATGAACCCCCACATATCATGGAAATTATGTTTGGGTCCTTGGGTGTACCTGAACTGAACTGGATGGTAGCAAGAGTTACAAAAGGAAGCAAAAAGAAGCGCTAGCTGAATAGATCCGTTGATCTACAACCAATTTTGCATTAGGGCTGGTTTGATGCGTGTGTATCCACGTCAATTCACATATGTTGGAGTAGAATGGAATGGAATTTAATTTAATTCTACTTCAATCCACTTCAACATATGTGGATTAAGACGAATACATACTCATCTAAACGAGGCCTTAGTTGGTTTTCATCCAAGAAACTTTGCAAATTTTGGTATGTTGGTTCCCATGTAGCAGTGTAAATGAAGTAGCTACAATGTGGCTGGTTTTGGCCAGAGCAGGTGAAGTCTGAGCTGTGTGTCTAACTTTCAGGATTCATTTGAGCAATGAATATTTGTGCTTGCTTAAGCAGAGGTTAATATAGTTTTGTTTTCTCTCGTAGCTCCTTTATGGACTGTACCATTGGCTTTCCAGATATGTTTGCTATGTATATTGCCAACATAGGATACGAGGTTGCGATAATGTAAAGTTTAGCTGAAACCTTAATAGTAGGAACTTAAACTTATCGACCTGGCTTATCAGCTATGGTATAGTGTTTTTATCTCACAACAAATCAGCGAATAGTACTTTGAAAACACTACATGCCAAGTCCAGTTGTTTCAACGCTTCATGTTGTAGGCAACTAGGTATGACCAGCATTGAAGGGCTGTAGTGCACGTTATCATTGTTGCAAAGCTTTTTTTTTTTTTTGGAACTGTTGCAAATCTAGTAGCAGTAAGCAAGTACCCTCGCCATGGAAGCAAATAAGGCCTGTGAGTGTGAACCAAACAAATACAGCATTTCTGCTACTACTGTAGGTAGGCAGCGTTTGTGTGTGTGTGTGAGCACTGTGCAACCTGCAATCCTTGCCCTTGCACAACTAGGCCGGCAAAGCCCTGTGCTATATCATTGCCAGATATATAGATGATGCTGAACTTTTGAACAGGCGTAGATACGCCTACTGAATGTCATATGCTGTACATGTACAACAAAATCATACTGTGCTTGGCTAAACCCAATCACTGCAGACATGCACAGCATGAAAAGCAAGATGGATGCCAACAGATCCTCATATGCATGTACAACCATATAGGGTAGAGCACAGCCCTCCACCACCAAATACAAGAGGAGGATCTTATTATGTCCCAACCAATTCAATTCAATCAGATTTACACCAGTGAACTGACAAAAAATCAAAGTGGTGCGGTACATAAGAACATTTTACATCCAACTGTAAATATAATACGACTTTATTTACATCGTTGACTCCAAGAAACATGATTCTGTTTAACTAGGTACGAATGGAAGCTTGCGGTACTGTAGGCAACCCCAGCTCATCCACCTGCACCAAAAGGGAATGAAAAACAAATTATTACTATGGATCCACCATGGAGTTATTATATGCCACTGAAGGCAAGCTCACTGGAAAACAATCCAAATGTAAGATTTTTCCATGCTCGTAACTATGACAGAGCTGAGCCTAGCTAAGTTGGTCAGATGTGGATGCTCATTCCATCCATGCTCAATTGGAATTCAGGTAACCCTTTTTCTACCTTATAAACCACAAACCAAAAAAGAGAGAAGATTTTCAGTTTTTTTTAATCTCCTCCTTCGTCACATTTTTCTTCTCTGTTGATCACTGGGATAAAGTTGAAACATGCTCATTTTTTATAGAGATAATAAAATTAAAAAGCATGGCCCCATGTTGCAATAGGCTTTGATATTGTTCTAGGAGCTAATTGGTGGTTAGTGCACATGACAAAGATAAAGAAAACCACATAGCTACCATGATGATTATAAATAAAAGCAACACTAAAATCAAAGTATGCAACATCTAACATCATTCTCTCACAATAATTCCACTACCTGCTGCTGGTTTGCTGGGACTGCTGCATGGCCAGTTGGTGCAGCAGGTAAGTTGAGTTCAGATTCTTGGTCTGGTTGGAGGTAAGATGGGACTGACTCTGATTCAAAGTCCATGTCAGCTTCCAAAGCATCGAGCTCTGCATTTTCCAAGAAACAAAATGAGGACAGCAGAGAGAGAAATGAGTTTGTTCTTCTTCATAAGCTTTATAGCAATCTATGCAGTTTGAGAAAATATATGGCGTTTGCAAATTATTATCGAAGAGAAATCGAACTGCCAATATGATTGAACCGTACCTCCCATAAGTTCTTCCTCATCGATATCATCAGGGACGTTGTAGCTTCTGCCAAGAGTTTCTTGTATTTCGTTGCTCACATCCATAAGATCCATCATCTCATCTTGCATGCTCTATGGATCATAGGAGGTATATATTCAGATGCAACATCAATCAAACAGGAAAATAAGCAACAAATTGGAAGTGCATGTAAGGTGCGAATACTGAAAGCATGAGGAATCTGGTAAGAGTAAGACGGGAGAATGGTAAATAGCATACATCAATATCTTCAAGCTTGACAGTCTTCATCATCCCTTTGAGCTCTTTATTGGCAGCCTTCATTGCAGTCATCTACCCAATGAAAAGCACTTGAATGTAAGCCTATACGATTCTAAAAGGGAAATTATATAGCAACAAAAATCAAGGTTTTTGTTAGGTAACTCTGGAGGCATACAGTTTGCTGAGCATCTTTAAGTCCCTCTGCGGCAAAAGCAACTTGGTCAAGGTTATATGTTTGGTTGTAGAGCATATCACGCTGCCCCTCGTACCTGCAAGGAAAATATAAAAACAGAGGGTGAAGATAGGAATTAGTATCCATTGACGGACGGAAGATTCTCTAAAATATCTTTTCTTTTTCTGGAAATAAAAAAGAATGTACTAAGGCGGTGGGTATAAAAGCAATTCCATTTTTGCCCTGCCTAGAAGAAATTGTCGCTACTGAACTCCGTCCAGTCATGACGCATTTGATATGTTTGTTGTTTGGAAATTGGCATGACCACACCTCGGAAAATCAATTTATATAGATATTTATTTATTTATACTGGTACGACAGTATAGACTATATCTATAGAAATAGGATTAGGATTACTAAAATGTCTGTATCAAGTAAGACACCAGTTGTATGTTTATGGAATGCATTAATTGATTCAGCATAATACCAAGCAGTTAACTAAATATGAGTAGATGCAATCATGCAAACAAGCATTGAAGGTAGGCTGGCTGGCTCATGTATGGTAAAGTAGTCGTCGTAATTCTAGTAATCGGTAATCTAACAGTCGAGAGAGAGAGCAAGATAAGGGGCAGAGAGGAGGAGGGGACGGGGGTTGGGGTGGCTCACATCCTGCGCTGCTTGAGGACCCTCATGGCTCGTGCCTTGACGGCCTCCTGCGCGGGGCCTGGGCGCGTCTTCTTGATCTGCTCCTTGTAGCGCGCGAGCTCGGCGTCGAGCTTCTTGATCTTTTCATCGACGGTGTCGCCGCGCTTGGTGATCTGCAAGGGAAGGAGGAATCGATTTGATTGATTGAATAAACATTATGAATGAATCTGCAAGGATTGATATACAATGAAGGAAGGAAGGAACTTGGTTGATGATACATACTCCGTCGGTTGCGTCCTGGATGGTGGGCGGCGGCTCCTTGTTCTTCTTGGCGCCGAAGATCTTCTTCATGTCGCCGGCGGGCGGGCTTGCTTGGCTTGTTGTATATTGGATTTGGATGGGATGCGATCCCCAATCCAATTGACTGATAGTAATACGGCGAATAAAGAAGTTGGAATCGATCGTATCAGGGAAGGGAGAAGAGGAACGCGCAAGAAAAGAGAAGAGAAGAAGGGAGCAGGAGAGAGGAAATTTCCGTGCAGTTAAAAGTCGGTTAGCTCTCGGATCGGAGAGGGGAAATTTCTGGGTCTCCTGTCCTGACCTGACCTCGTCGCCAAACCCAAACCCAAAAACCAAAGGGTTGACTCCGCCCAGGCACAGCCGATGGGTGGAATCGGAATATGGCGGAGAACCAAAGGGATCCGGCGGACGGCGGACCGGTGGCCTTACAATCTCTAGGAGCAGAAGGAAACCCGGCGTGCGGGAGCAGATGGAGGGCAGGGGGAATGGCAGCACAGGTTAGTCACTGACGACACCCCAGAGATGCGACAAGCTTCCAGGCGAGCAGGAAGGGGGAGGGAGGCCGGCGGGCTACGAGAGGAAGACGGGGACGGCACGCGACGCGTGCGTTGCCAATTGTGTGGTCACGCTCACGCAGAACTCCCCTCGCTAAAAGGAGACTTTGGCATTTCACCCATAGTCAAAAACGGGTTTCGCAGTTTTATCATCTTTTAAAGTGGTTTTTGTTAGTTTACTATTATAAAATTGGTATAACCCGCTAAAATATATTTTGGGTAGTTTTAATTCGTAAAAAAAAAAGAAGACGCCTCCTTCCATTCCTACCCCTGCCTGCTGTTATGTTCATCAAAACGGATCGAACACAAAATGGATCGGCCCTCTCCTTCATCCCCAGCGGCATCAGCCGACACAGGCCTGCCACCACGCCGCTCCCCTCCCGTGTCGGCGCTGGCCTTTCCCACGTCGCCCCCTCCCCTGCCGGACAACCTTGCCACCACGCGCGCATCAGGTGCCTCGTCCCGCCTTCGCCCGGCCATCCAGGTGCCGCCTCCCGCCTCCGCCCGGCCATCCAAGCGCTACCGCCACCCCTAGGCCATCCAAGCGCCGCCTCCGCCCCAGGCTAGCCTCAGCTCCGCCCTAGGCCATGGGCCAGGCCGACGCCCAGGTTGTCGCGCCAGGCCGGCGCGTCCACAGTCGACGCGTCCCTTAAGCTGGCGCCGCCCCCATGGATTGCACTTGGAGTGATCTAAGTCCTCGG